TTTCTTTCTTTCTTTTCTTCTTCTTCTTCTTCTTTTTTTTTTTTTGAGACAGAGTCTTAAGCTGTTGCCCTGGGTAGAGTGCTGTGACGTCACAGCTCACAGCAACCTCAAACTCTTGGGCTTAAGCAATTCTCATGCCTCAGCCCCCCAAGTAGCTGGGACTACAGTTACCTGCCACAACTGCCTGGACACCAAGCCAGAAGTTTGTTCTTTTTCATTATTGCATAGTATTCCATTATAGGAATAGACTCCTAAATTGAATTATTCATTCTACTCTTTTTTACCTTTGTTTTTAAATTTTTTGGCCAGGTGTGGTGGCTCACACCTGTAATCCTAGCACTCTGGGAGGCTGCGGTGGGTGGATCCCTTGAGGTCAGAAGTTTGAGACTGGCCTGATTTCACATTTGGTGAGGTCACAACGAGAGTGAGACCCCAGCTGTACTAAAAATAGGAAACCTAGCCAGTCCTAGCACTCCAGGCCAAAGCAGGTGGATTGCCTGACCTCAGGAGTTGGAGATCAGCCTGGGCAAGAGAGAGACCCCATCTCCAAAAATAGCCGGGCATTTTGGCAGGTGCTTATAGTCCCAGCTACTTGGGAGGCTGAGGCAAGAGAATTTCTTGAGTCCAAGAGCTTGAAGTTGCTGTCAGCTATGATGCCACAGTGCTCCACTGAGGGTGACAAAATAAGACTCGGTCTCAAAAAGAAAAGAAAACCTAGCCATACATGGTGGTGCACATCTATAGTTCCAGCTACTTGGGAGGCTGAGGCAAGAGGGTCTCTTGAGCCCAAGAATTTTAAAATGCTATGAGCTATGGCACCAAGGCCCTCTATGAAGGGTCACAGAGTGAGACTCTGTTTCAAAAAAAAATTTTTTTTTTGTTAAAAGAACAACAACAAAATGGCCTGGTGAGGTCTCCTGTTCTGTTACTCTGGGAGGCTGAGGCTGGTGGATTGCCTGAGCTCATGGGTTCGACACCAGCCTAAGCAAGAGCAAGATTCTGTCTCTAAAAATAGGTGGGTGTTGTGGCAGGCACCTGTAGTCCTAGTTACTCGGGAGGATGAGGCAAGAGACTTGCTTGTACCCAAGAGTTTTTTTTCTTTTTTTTTTTTTTTTTGAGACGGAGCCTCAAGCCGTCCCCCTGGGTAGAGTGC